GAAGACGATGCATCTGCGAAGCAGACACAACATGGGCATGCTGTTGTTGCTGGTGGTGGTGCTGGTGGTGCAGGTGGTGAGCTGGGAGAAAAGAAAAGAAAAACAAGCCACCACTGGCTGCATCACGTGGTGCAGACCAAGTGACATCAGCATCACTCAACAAAAATGTAGACGAGTCAGACAAGGACACGACAAAACCAGCATCAACAAGGGCAGATAAATAAATTAGGTGTTTGAACCTCAGAGCTGAAAGCAAAGCTGTGCAACCCCGACAACAAAATCACGACGGCACGCAAAACAACACAAGAGAACAAGTTACATTCACTGGCTTTTATCATGCCAAGAAGTACAAGCGCGAAGAATCACGCACATAGAAACAAAAATCGTACAAAACGACCAAGTATAACCAGAGATACGGCCATCTTAAACACAAGATACACATAAAAAGGCAGTCACACATCACAACTACAAGCCATCACAGCACAAACACAATGAACACCACGGCACGCTCACATCCAACGAGACACAACGTCGGATTGAGAAAACAACCAACCACAGAAGACAAAGACATCATACAAAGGACCTTACAAAAATTCAGCAAAAATACCACACAGATACAGCAGAAATCAAAGCGAAATCAAACAAAAATACAAGTCAAGCCATCAAAAGACACAACGAGGAACCACCAAGGGAGCGACAGGTGCACACAGGGATCCCCACAGAGGGACCCCCGAGACGGTGCCTACCTACGACGAGCGCAGGCAGACACCGCCAAAGTGGCGCTGGATGTGGTCAGCGTTCATCTGATGGACCAGCGCCGCAAAGCGACCCTTCCACCGGGGAACAAAGGCCTCATCCAGCCCCGGCTGGTACACACCACGGGCCTCGGCGCAGCGGGCGAGCTGACCAAGCAGATCCACAAAGGAGGAGGCGAACCCACCGGTTGTCGTCATCGCCGCAGGGACGATCAGAGTTTTTCCATGGTTGAAACCGGTGTAGTAGTCGCGCTTCTCCTTTTCGGCTCGGCGAAGGGCAGCGCCCACCTTGATGCAGGCTTGCGAGGTGGTCGGGGGTTGGGCTGTGCGCACAGTCACGTCAATGCCCAGGTCGGGCAGAGCTGGGCCCAGGGCACCGCCGGGAAAGGGGTTGCGGCAGTGCAGGTCGATGCGGCAGCTCTGACCGTTGGCGTTGTAGCCAGACTTTTCCACCCAGACATGGGAGAGGGGG